GTCTCCTGTCTCTCTAGTGGCTGAAAAAGCCTGTCTAAATGAACACATACAGATAGGGTTCCCTACCCGTTCTGTTCCAAGAGACACCTGTGCTCCTTCTACTTGGTGGCCTGGGTGACCCAGGTCCAGCTCTGGAGTTACACTTGCTTTTATCAATGTTTAATATAATGGCTGATTCCACATAAGCAATCACAGACTTGATTACAATGAATATATTATTCTAGGTTGATTTTTTCCATTCAACTGTTTATATTCCATCTACTTTGAACAATCAATTGAGAGAACAGGCAGCTCAAAGTCTTCCCAAGAATGGAGACTGTTGAAACGGCACTGTACACTCTGGGCAAGGGAGACAAACGCTGTCAGGGCAGGGCCTGTCTTCACGGGGCTGCTTTCTTCAAGTCTCGAATCTGTTTAATCAGGTAGTTCTTCTCATCAGCGAACTGCTCATCATCTGTCCTTTCCTTCTGGAAGCTGCTCAGAAATTCAATGAGTTTGGGCTGATTTTTCAACAGAATCTCCACGATAGGCTGCGTTTTGTGAGGGCTGGCCACAAACACCTAAAACAGAGGGAAACGTTTGAGCAATGCCTTTCTGAGAGGATTCATATACAAGTGACAGGAACATGATCCATTAATCCTTGTTGCTCATTTCCCCCATCACCAGTCTTGGGGCGTCTGCTTCCTCAGCAGGGGCTACGCGGCGTAGGCTCCCCTGAGAATACTATGGTCCCTGGGGTCCTTACGGCTCATGGTGGAGAGGTCTCTAGCACTGCTACCTGCAGTAACTCCACCCAAAGAAGGCCAGGGACCCATGCAGGCCAGGAAGAGAGTCCCCAGACTTCCACCCAGCAGGTCCCGAACCATAAGGTGGTGAGGATCAGGCCTTGGCCTCCTGGTTACATAGAATCTTAGGCTCCTCCTAGCCATTGGAACAAAGAAAGCACAAGGGTGATTAGTGAACACCTTGAGACAAGTGAAAATGAAACTACGAGAAACAGCACTCAGGCAGGCAAATTGTGGTTCTAAATACCTACATTCAGAAGAAAGCTAAGTTCACACTTTAAGAAACTAGGAAAAGCAGCGAATCAAAGGAGCAGAGATGGGAGGAGAGCAAACCATAGACAGAGAATGACTAACACCAGAAACTGGCTCTTGAGACAACCACCTTGACAAGCCTCTGGCTAGGTAAGAGCTGGATTCTGGAAGCCGGGTGGCGGTGGCGCACGCCTTTGATCCCAGTGTCCGGGAGGCAGAGCCAGATAGATCTCTGTGAGTTCGAGGCCAGCCTGATCTACAGAGTGAGATCCAGGACAGGCACCAAAACTACACAGAGAGACCCTGTCTCCAAAAAAAAAAGGGCTGGAGAGAGCACCAACTGCTCTTCCAGAGGTCCTGAGTTCAATTCCCAGCAACCACATGGTGGCTCACAACCATCTGTAATGAGATCTGGCGCCCTCCTCTGTATACATAATAAATAAATAAATAAATCTTTTTTTTTAAAAAAAGAGCTGGATTCTGAAAGGCTAAACTTTTTTTTTTTTTTTTTAAATTTATTTATTATGTATACAGCACATATGACTACAGGCCAGAAGAGGGCACCAGATCCCATTACAGATGGTTGTGAGCCACCATGTGGTTTCTGGGGATTGAACTCAGGACCTCTGGAAGAGCAGTCAGTGCTCTTAATCTCTGAGCCATCTCTCCAACCCTGAAAGGCTAAACTTAAAGCAGAGCATTGCTAGCAACTTTACTGAAACTTAGCTGTGAGTAGCGGTCCAATCAGAGAATGCACTAGTTCCTGGTCTCAGTGAGTGGAGGCTGCCACACCCACAGTCGGGGGAGAGCCAGCAAGGCCAGCACTCTGCTCCTTCTCTCCTGCTCACCCAGTCCCTGACTCCAGCCTAAATTTAGGGTGGGTCTTCCCACCTCAAACTAATGCAGGTAGTCCCTCACAGATGTGCCATAACCTTGTCCCTTCAGTCATTCAGGTCCTGTGAAGTGGACAGCCAATATTAACCACCACAGATAACTAAGAAAAAATGTTTACATTCCTCAAATAGAAATTTCAGCAAACCTATTACATGAGATCAAGTCAGTAACCAACACTACCAACAAAGAAAAGCCCAGGCCAGCTCACTTTCATTGGTAAATTTCTACCTAACATTAAAAAAAAAAAAAAAAAAATGAACTCAGTGCTTCTCAAATTCCTCAAAGAAGGAAGAGCGTTCCCAGCCAATTCTATGAGGCCAGCAATACTCTGATACAAAAGCTAGATGAAACAACGAGAGAGCTCTCAAAGGGCAATCAATATCCCTTATGAATGAGAAAGTAATTAACAGTGTCATATAGACAGTGAACACCCAATGGATTGTGTCCCCTTACAGATGCATTTACAGCTTAAAGGTTCATTTTCTAAGGAAACATGGACTTGACAAATTCATGAGGCTAAGATGAGGTCATACTGGGTTAAATCTAATGACTGGTAAGAAGGAACTTAAGATATAGAGGTATGTGGGCATGCAGAGAGGAATGTGTCACATGAAGACAGGGGATGCAGTGATGTGTCTACAAGGAAAGGCTGCTGGCAATCACCAGAAGCTAGGAGAGAGGACAGAAAGATTCTCCTTGGAGCCTTCTAAAAGAACCACTCTATTGGCACCTTAGCCTTGGACTTATGGTCTGCAGAACTTGGGGAGGATAGACTTCTGTTCTTCAGAGTCCTCTGTGGTACTCTACCATGGCCATAGGAAGCTGATGTCACATTGAGTGAATGCAGGAAAACCACATGGTCATCTCAATTATTCCAGAATTTGACAAAATTAAATACTTTTCAGATTAAAAAAAAATTCCAGAATGAAGCTGGGTCCTCACCTCACAAAAATCATTAAAAATGAACCAAAGGTCTAAATATAAGAGCTACTAAGACATTTGGAGAAAACTACAGAGGACACATTCACGACCTTGCCCATCAGATGAGCTACACTAACAGTTAACGCTTCTGTATAAAGGACTGTTAGGAGGGTGGGAGAAAGTATCTGCACGTCACAGATCTTACTGATATCACATCTACACTATATAAAGAACTCTTACAACTCAACAACAAGGCATAATCCACCCACAAGGCAAAGGACTTGAGTAGAGCATTCTCCAAAGAGGAGTAAAGCAATGAGCAGTAATCCCGCCAACAGAGGCTTGGGGCAGTGCAGGTCACACTGCAGTAGGACGTCGTTCACACCCCTGGTGTAGACACTCAAACATAAAACAGGATGTGTGCTGAGCACAGACACGGCAAGCTGGGATGCTCACCGGGGTAGCGCCGTGGAAAAGTCTGGCACCTACTCAGTCAGCTAAGCAGCACGTGACCGCGTGACCAAAAAATGCTCTCCCCATACAGGGAAAAGGATTGTTCAAATAAACACCTGTGCTCCAGTGCTGACAGCAGGAGCAGTCACCGGCCCCAAGTGTTAGCAGCCTGAGTACCCACCAACCAGGGAATGGACGTCCAAGCCATCCATTGTCTGTCCATTGTGATGTCCATGAGTCTGTCATGGACATCACAAGGAACAATGTGCTGAACGAGACACAACACGGGTTTGACTCCATTTACATAAACTGTCACAACAGGCAGATCCAGAGTAAAAAGCAGACTGCTGGCTTCCAGGTGATCAGAGAAAGGAATCGAGAGACTGCCTAGTGCACAAGGTTTCTTTCTGGGGTGCTGGAATGTTCTGACATGACCTGTGGGGGTGACAACTCTAAACACGGAGCTCTGCTTTTAAAATGGTCAACAAGTGAATTTTTATAGACATGGCTTTTGCTACAATAAACTAATTGTTACTTACCAGAAAGGTATTCCAGGCTTGTTTACACTGTTACACAAACGCCTGCTGTTCACGGAATACCCATGAGTATGGGAGGAATCGCCAACCATGCTCTGGCCTTTTCTGGTTGACATTTGTTTATGAGAGAGCTGCTAAAGTTCTAACTACAAATTGCCTGGCATTTTGTGGTAACTACATAAATAACTCACAGAAGCACTGCTTAAAAATGAATGAGAGACTAGGTGCACTGGGCAAACCAAGCTTCTTCTAGAAGCCCGCTGGAGCTGCAGGCAGGCATGCTGGATGAACTCTAGGGTCCACCCCCTATACCCAAACCCAGCAAAACTGGTCAGGTGGTCTGCAAGCTTTAACATTTCCCTTCGTCTGGGTTCTGGCTGCCTAGCCCTCTGCTCAGAAGGCAGCTGTTTACTAGACTCTGCTGCCACTGACCGTCTGAGGCCTTGGTGGGTGGGTGGGTGAGGCAGGACCCCGAGCTGACGAGTAGGAGACCCCAGGGTGGAAGCTCGCTGCTGACTGATGTGTACAGATCAGCTGCTGTCACTCCTTCCTTAAAAAACCATGTGATTTTCAAAGTACCTCTAAACAAACGTAAACACACGAAAACTGTCTGTTACTTTTTGAATTGCTGCCTTCTTGCCTGCATCCCTCAGTTTACGTGACAGGTCTCAGAAATGTAATTGATGGAGTTTCCAAGCACACAGAAAAAGGCAGTAGCCACAGTCAAAAGTGTTTAAATCAGGAAGCAAAGTATTTTGTTTTCCATTTTAGATTCGAATGCTTCTTATGAAAATTAAATCTTGCATACTCCTTCACTGATCTCATCCCGATTCTTTTTACCAGGAAGGATTTGAGCTGATGAGGCACAGGAAGGCTTGCCTCAGCTTCTTGGTCTGCCAGAACTCTTTGTATATGTGACATCGAGTTGCCCATGTACAAGTCCATTCCACAGAAGTAAAGATGAAGTATTCTTACACTTACACTTACACTTACACTTACACACACACACACACACACACACACACACACACACACACACACACACACACCAATAACTGGTAGTCTTAGAGACAGCTAGCTTGCTTCTGTTAACAATGACTAGCCAAGCTCTACAAGGGAGGTGCCCATGCCATGGCTGACTAAGTTCCCTGAACACCAAGGCAGGAAGTGAGGGTGGCAGAGGCCAGCAGGCTGGAAACTGAGGTTCCTCTTCAGATACCCAGAGTGCTCACAACAGACACCGTTCTCTCATTGCTCTTTCACTGACACAGGTGAGGAACCAGGGAACAAGTGAGAAGAATGTAAAGCAGGGAGGGACAGGGCTGGAATTCAGTTCAGTGGTGGGAACTTATAAGTACTGGGCTCCAACCCAGTACCACAATAGACACTCACTCAAGCCTCTGAACCCCTCCACTCAGACATATTCACTGGGAATAACAGATTATGCAGCCTTCCATCCTAAAGGAAATTGAGCTTGCACTTTTTTACACACTGGTCTGTATTCTGTTCTTTCATTCAGCATTTTTGTTGTTACTTTATTTTTGTGGTACCAGGGGTTGAATCTAGGGCCTCATACATTACAGTCAAACCCTCTACCACTGAGCCACACACATGCCAGCCCTCTTCTACTTTTCGGGACTATGTTGGTCAGGCTGCTCCTGAAACCACTCTATAGCCCAGGCAGAATGATCTTCCTGGTCAGCTGGAGGAGCGGCCATTATAGTCCTTTAACACAGACTCCTTGTATATGGGGAGCTGGTCTCCACTTGAACGACAGCCAGGATACTGGCGAGCTGGTTGATACACGCTGTACCCTCTATCACTGTACCTGTATCACTACAGGTCCGGGGCGGGGGTGGGAGTGGGGGGAGCCTGCGTGCTGTGTTCTCTAGGTGAGGCTAAGAGCACTGGTGCTGTGCCAGTGACATGCTGCATGCAGGCAGATCATGCCTTTGCTTGGAAGTGCTTGCTTGCTTCTACCCACAGACAAGCGCAAGGAGAGGGAAGGGGATGGCCAGATCACCTCTCATCTGCCAAACAGCTTCAAAAGTAAACAGCAGGTCAAGGGACCAGGAGTGCCTTTGACCTTTCTCCTGGAAGTTTTTTGTGTCGTCCCCCCCCCCCCAGCATTCTTCATTCTGTCCTTGGATGTCTCTAGGAACTTACTTAGAGATACAGAATACATTAATTTAACTTACACAAATCAAGCCTTGCAAGTCTGTTGAATGGATATGAAGTTTTCTGATGACTTGTATGCCATTCAGGTTTTAAAGTTTTTAGAAGCAATCATATTGAGACATAATTCACATGTTATATATATGTATATATATATATGTATATGTATATATTCTAATGATTTCTAGTATGTTCACAGAACTGTGTCAACACACTTGACTTTGAGATATTTTTGTCACCCCTAAGAAGCCCTACACCCATCAGCAGTCACATCTACTTTGCCTTCCCATCCACCTCCTATAGACAGACGTTCCATATCAATGGCATCCCGTAACTCAGCACAGTGTTCTCATGACCTATTCCTACTGTGGCGTGCATTAGTTCCCCACACTCTTATTGTCAAAACATTACTGAGTTTTGAGAAGGATTAGAGGATGCAATTCCTGCTTGTATACATTTGGCACAGTTACCCGCCCACAGTAATTGCTTACTACATTATCATTATCTCTTTTCTTAAAGTGTATACCACACAGTTGTTTCCCCAAACAACTAACATCACACTAAAGCCCCACACCTAGGAGGAGACGGGGTTCAGGGGCAGAGTGCACGCTAAGAAATTCGCCCTTGAATCTCCTACAGAAACAGCTTCCTCAGCCACAAAATGAGGGTCCTCTATCTGCCTAACTTTAGGGGGGTGAGGGGCAAGGACTTGTGCTAGGGAAAACACTGACCAACACATTGTGGGATGCTGGCCCTGCCCTTGCCTAGGGATTCTGATACATCTTGGAGATATCACACAACTGTGGAAATAATGAAGGCGATTATGTATGCATTCCAAAATTATATTGAAAGCAACTTAAAATTTTCTAGGGCTGGGGGTCTATTTAGGTTGTAGAGTAATAGCTAAGCATGCATGAGGCTCAATTTCCAGTAAGAGAAAAATGATTATTTTCTTATTCTGAATAATAGGTACTACATATAGCTTTACTTTTCTTTTATATTTCCTTTTTGGAAAGTGCTGATGACTTCCACAATACCAAGCAAGAACTCTACCATTAAGCTATACCCTCTAGTTCCACCTTATGAATTTCTTTTTTTATTGAAAAAAATTATAACATATATTTTTGAACTTGTTTTTCCTCTGCCCAATTCCTCCCAGATCCTCTCCACCCAACTTTGTTTTTTGTCTTTCTTAAAATCAATCTCTCTATCTCTCTGTCTCTGTCTCTCTCTCACACACACCCCACAGAAACCTTTTATGACTTTCTTAAGGACAGCATGTTTTTACAACAGGAAGAAGAGGCGTCTTGACTGACTTTTCCCTGTTCTGCCTCTTTGTTAAATGCCTACAAGGAGTCAAGTAACACCAAAGGAGGGCAACGTGAGGTTGAGCACTCACCGCTTAAGAGCATGTCATGAAACATGAAGTCAGCAGTTACTATAAACAGTGTGTGTTTTGAGACAGTCTCCCTAGTTGCCTAGGGTGGCAGCGAACAGCTGGACTCAGGCGACTGTCCTGTCCCAGTCTTTGGACCCAAAAGCACACATTTTCACACAGTTACAACATGGGGTATTGGTAGACCGTCGTCAGTTCCCATGGTCACTTAGTCCAGGGATGTCCTTGGGGCCGCTGCCAGCAGAGCAGGTGTTGGGCTTGAGAGCCGTCCTCAAGGAAAGCGAGTCATTCAAGGCCGGTTCTCCAGCAGCTGACCTGGGCTTCTGCACTCCTTCCAAAGCAACTGGTAGGAAAGCTGCTCCTGTCGAGGGGCACTGCACTACTTAACTTTCAGCTAGACTGTCCGGTTAGCTTTTGCACCTGGCGTTTTCATGCAATTGTCCGTTTGCAGTAACTGGGACCTCAGTGCACCATGGTGTATGCAGAATTGGTCCTGGCACTGGCCATGTTTGAGTGCCAGTGGCTCTAGGAGTGAGCTCCCATGGTTTGGTGGGAAGTGACAACATGGCTCATTGTCACTGGGGGAATCAGAAACGGAAAGAAAGGGGAGAGGTCAGCTAACAGCAGCTCAAGTTCTTTTCTGGGGCAGCGAGGACACAAAGATGCAGAGCCCAGCAACTTACCAGATGGACAACCATGCCTGCTGCTGGCACCAGTGAAGAACCCAGACTGCTTCTCCTGACTCTCACCCCAGAATTTCCCATGTCGCAGCTGCAGACTTCCAGGAATGGAGTCGCACAGGAGTCCCTGAACTCAGCTACGTAATGGGAGTGGCATTGCTAGCCTGCCAAGGCATTTCCAGGAGCATGTCCCACAGATTCTGCATCTTCGAGGGGAGGGCAACTGTTCATAAAGAACTGAAAAAGTCTAGGACTCTTGCTTTTCTAAACAGCAAACCATTATTGGGGGGAAGTAAACAAATCATACTTGAGTGGAAGAAAAAGCTGAGGCGCAGGGTAGGCCCAAGTTACACGCACACAAGTAAACAGTGGTCAACTATTTTTAAATGTTCCTCCTCTGTCCAATGGTTAGGGAAACCAAATTCGGATTGTCTGAGGACAGAAGCAGGCTATTTCTTGTCCGCCATGCACTAAATCTTCCTGTAATCATGCATTTCTGAACTAGATCTCATCTCGTACGACAGGGTGCACACTCACAGGCACAGAGTGGAATGCACACAGCTTTCTGCACTGTCCTTCCTCAGGAGGGTCTGAGGCAGGTCTGCCCCGCTCTGCCACTTGGTGTTTGCTGGCACCACCCCTTCATTCTCCGTTCCATTCTGTTTGTTGACTTTTTATGGGACAGTTCTAACAGAGAAGATTGCAGGGAGTAAGGCGGGCACCTCAGAGGCAAACAAGCTGCCCAGCGCCAGTCTGGCCTGCTTTTAACCAGAGTGCAACTGCTCGACACCTCCCTCGTCCCCATTCCCTTCCTGTGTGCGCTCCTGAGGTGATCATCATCCTGAAATTGTGTCTGTCTCTCAAACACACACTGGAAGACTGTAACTGCAAAGCATGAATCTAGACAGAGTCAAGTTTTCAAATAAAAAAAAAAAATAGGCTCATCAATTCTGTTCAGATTTCAAGTGGAAATAAATGAAACATTTTAATTAGTCTAGTGGCTTCTTGTAGCAGAAACACTAAGTTTTTAACTTGTCACAGCAACAATAGCCTTATAAACTGTTATGTTCTCCACTAAAAGACAAAGAACTCTGTCCCTGAATATATACTTTTAAGACCAAAAATTTTGGAGCTCACTGAGCTTTTATGTCTATTTTAGACATCAATTATGAGAAAACAACTGAAACGGGCAAAAGCTGGCCAGATGCATAGTGTGAACTGCAACATCCCTCACAGTAGTAAGAAATGGAATTAGTTATCCATAGCTCAGGGCCATTCATACTAGAATAAAAATGTCCAATGATGAAGCAGGATGCCTACTGTTCTGAAATTACACATAGCACAAATGTTTACTCATGGCAAACCTAGGCTATAAATTATTAGTATAATGAATAAGCTGAATGAAAACCCCACAGGTATGTCCAAAGTAGTTAGGAGTATGGGATTACAAATGAACTTTTACCTTATATCTGTATATATTTAAGTCAATTATTTAAAATTTCTGAGAAGTAATTTTATCACTCAGCAGAGAGAAATGTTAGAAAAAGACCCCATTTTTTAAAGCAGGAACACTGAGCTCTGGAAGCTGGGTGCAGCCTCAGGCCTTCCCTTGGGGTCAGAGGAGAGGGCAAAAGCAGAATCCAGCACTTAGGCCTTCTATTCTAGATCGGTCTCAGATCACGCTAGGAATCTGGGGGAGGAAATAAGCTTTTCTTTTTTTAAGATTTATTTTTACTATTTTTAATTATGTGTAGGTATATGTGTCTGCATATGGCCATGTGCATATGACTGCAGGTGCCTTCAGAGGCCAGAGGCATAAAATCCCCTGGAGCTGGAATTACAGATGGTAGTGAACAACCACATAAGGGTGCTGGAATCTGAACGTGGGTCCTCTGGAAGAGTAGCAAGTGCTCTTAACCTATGAGCCATCTCTCCAGCCTTATGAAGGAGGCACTGAACTGCTAAGTATGGTGGCAGGGCCTCCATGAAGCTAGGCCTGATTGGATTTCCACCCTCTTGAATTCTAGTGAATACTAAAGAGGCCTTTACCAGGCAGGTCAAACATCATTTATTTTTCAATGGATTTTACTTTGAAAACAAGTGCTTATCTTACTGCATGGTACTGGGTTGCAGGCCCTCTGAGGTCAGGCTAGCTTGCTGCAAATATCAAAGTTCTCTAAATTTATAAATTTATATGCAGAGACCAGAGGCAAATTTGCCCAGTTGTAGCTAGCACTCAAGTAATGATTTTCTGCAATTAGATTAGTGGGAGAAGATAATCTAAGTTTGCAAAACAAGAAGACTGGTTCATTTTCTCTCAAGTAAAGGAAAGGAAAAAGCAGGCACCTTGCCATTTCACAGTTGGAGAAAAACATACCCCGGTACCAGCTCTTTACCTTAAAGACATGGAAGGCTTCAAACTGGATGTTAGGGCTTTTGTCTCGAAGCAGGTTCATCATCAGTTTCAGGTTCTCTGGCTTGCTGATGTACTTGGTCATAATGGCGAAGTTGTGGCGGTCCAGGATCAGCTCACCTAGCAGCTGTGAGACACAAAGCCAGAGTCATTATTTGATTCTTCAAATACATCTCATCAAAGTGGAATCAAAACCTAAGACTAATGTGGAGAGTCATAAGGCATCTTAAAGGAGGTGTATGCCAGGCATGGTAGTATCTGGGGCAGCCCCCGCTACTCAGGAGGTTGAGGCAGGAAGAGCACTTGAGCTCATGAGCTGCAGACCAGTGAGCACAGTGGGACCCCATCTCAAACAGACAGACAGACAGACAGACAGACAGACAAAGAAACAACAACCAGCCAGCCAGGCCAGGCCTGAAAACGGCTTTCATATGGTTTGCTAAAGTTAGTTTTGAAGCAGTTTTGCAGCCACTCACTGCTCAGTGTACTAAGAGACAGCCTGGGGGCTGGAGAGATGGCTCAGAGGTTAAGAGCACTGACTGCTCTTCCAGAGGTCCTGAGTTCAATTCCCAGTACCCACATGGTGGCTCACAACCATCTGTAATGAGATCTGGCACCCTCTCCTGTCTGCATAATGAATAAATAAATCTAAAAAAAAAAACAAGTAAAGAGACAGCCTGGTCCACATCTGTGGATCTTCTTCCCAGCCACATACTGCTATACGAACATTCAGGCAGAACACAGTAACAAAACTGACTGACTGAACGCACACTAGGGTTTACTGGAGAGTTTTCATGTTAAGTAAGTCTATCCTTGACTTAATTTTTAAAATCAGATTTGTTTTATTTTATGTGTAAGTGTTTTGCCTGATTGTAAGCACATGTACAGCATATGTGATTGGTGCCTAGAGAGGTCAGAGGAGGGTTCTGGATTCCTCAAAAGGATTCCCTAGGCCCAGCCCAGTGCTTGGCTGTGGATCTCTGCATCTGTTTCCCCGAGTTACTGGGTGAAGACTCTCTGACGACAACTGGGACAGTTACCAATCTGATTACAGGAGATGGTCAATTCAGGCTGCCTATCCTCTATTGCTAGGAGTCATAGCTGGGGCCATCCTTGGGGATTTCTGGAGTTTACCTTGTATCAAAATGCACCCCCTCTACCTATCAAGTCGCATCTTTCACTGCTCTCCCCTCCATTCACCCCTCAACCCAATCCTCATGTCTACATGCCGCTGTTCCCCCGCCCCACTAGCCAGGTAGGTCTTTTCTATCCCCTTCCCAGGGAGATCAATGTCCCCCTATATGGTGGTTTCTCAGAAAATTGGGAATCAATCTACCTTGAGAGGCAGCTATACCATTCCTGGGCATATACCCAAAGGATGCTCAATCATAACACAAGGACACTTGCTCAACTATGTTCATAGCAGCATTATTCATAATAGCTAGAACCTTGAAACAACCTAGATGCCCCTTAACCAAAGAATGGATAAAGAAAATGTGGTGTATTTACACAATGAAGTATTACTCAGCTGTTAAAAACAATCAGGAAATTTGCAGGCAAATGGATGGAACTAGAAAAAAATCCTGAGTGAGTTAACCCAGACCCAGAAAAACAAACACGGTATGTACTCACTCATAAATGGATATTAACTGTAAACTAAAGCACAATCCACACCTAAAATGTTCTTACTTTCTGGATTGTTCCTGAAATCCCCCCAGAACAGCATTCTGCACAGATGGTTACAGAAATCCTGGATGGGAAGGCGAGAGCACAGCGAACAGCAGCTAGGTCTTTCAGAACAGAAGTCTAGGTGTGCATGTGCAAGTGTGTAGAAGGGTGTCTGTTACAATACTTATTCTGTCTGTTCAACACTAAGAACCACACACGATAAGAATTAGCCTTTGGCTGTCCTGCTACTTCTCATCCTGGTGGGGAACTGGGGAGGAAGTGTGGGATTAACCGATCCTGTAACCTCCTTATAACCTCACCTTGCAGGAAAGCTCCCACGGCTCTCCAGGAAGCTGCCCTTGGTCCTGGTTTCTCACTCCTGCATCCTATTCTGGGCCACCTGCCACTGCCCCCTTCCTCTGCACCACATTTGGTAAAGTCTGCAGGTTGCACACTTGGTTCACTTCCTGCAGACCATCACATCTTCATCAGTGGGTGCAGGTTTTTTTTTAGATTTATTTATTTTATATATATACGAGTGCTCTATCTGCGTGTGTGCTTGCACACCAGAAGAAGGCATCTGATCTCATTACAGATGGTTGTGAGCCACCATGTGGTTGCTGGGAATTGAACTCAGGACCTCTGGAAGAGCAGACTGTGCTCTTAACCTCTGAGCCATCTCTCCAGCCCCCTGTGGGTGCAGTTTTAACACTGATGTCTCAGAACTTCTAGTCAATGCTGACCCACAGTTCTCTTTGTTTCACAGCCCTTCTTGGATGTTGCTGGCTGATTAACTTCACATCTTTAAAAGCAATTCATTTTCCTTTCTTTGTTGGTGACATAGAGGCTTGTCAGCTCCTGAAGTGTTCCTCAGCTTAGTTTCTCTTGTTCCTTCCTGTAGCAAATTAATTTTCAAGGTTTGCTAATTTTCTGGTTTCCAGTGACTCTTGAACATCCAGCTCCTCATCTTTACTACCAGCTTCCTTATTCAAACACTCCCTCCCTTCCATATGAGTAATTCCAAAATCATGATGATTTCCCTCAGTCTTTATTAGTCCCACCCACTCTGCAATTAAAATCTTCCTGAAAGTCAGCTGTATTTATTATTCATTCTACTTATAAAATGAATACAAATGCCTCATTGCCATGGATTTAGGGAAACCAATCATTAGGATGGCATTTGATGTGTGCACAGGAAACCACTTCTGCACCCCACCCTCACTTCCCCACTGCTGCAGTATTGTGTTGGTTAGACTCTGGGTCCTCTCCTCTGGAGTTCGGAGAATGCCTTCACTCCTCTGCAGTATTAACTATCCTCCCTCCTCCTCCCTCCTGGTGGGCAGGTGGGTGGGTTTCCCCAACTGCCTCTGGGCTCCTACTTGTTCCTCTTGTCTGTGCCCTTCCAAGCTAACCCTGTGGTGGGGATCGCTGGGGCTATCCCAGCAAGTGGGGTCCCCTCTTCACAAACCGCAGAACAGACATTTTATTACAGCGTAAGTGGAAAACTATGGGGAACCCGGGAAAAGAGGCTCTGGAGGCTTAAAGCCCACCCTGGGAACACAGCTAAGCACTGAGGTGGTGCCCGAGTCCTCGGGGTGTGGCTGACTTTCCCGGGGGTGAACCCCAGCACCTTCCCTAGCACTTGTTGGCTCACCTGAAATTCACCTGGTAACCCAGGGAGCTGCTGATCTCAGCAGACTGTCACTATCTGGACATTCAAACTTCTCTCTCCAAAAGCTTGGAGGAGTTCTCATGCCAAGCACCCCTGGAGAGGGAGACAAGAGTGTTGCCTTCCTGAGCTAACTCAGCTCAAAGGGCTCTTCAGCTTTCAAGACAAAGCACCCCTGACTGGAAAGCCAGCAGGGGCTTTTCAGCTCTAAAAATATCTACCTTTCTACCTGGCAAACACACAAGAAAACATTGTAACACAAACACAACACAAGAGGCTTTATTTCTTTTTTTTTTTTTATCTCCAAATGTGTAACTTTATTTCTTCATCCTCTATCCCATTCTATGGGTCCACTTGTCTGCTTTTATTATAATAGCTCTGTAGAATAACTTGGAATCTGGTATGGTGATTCCTCTGGCTTCCTTCTTTTTACTCAGGGTTGCTCTGGCTATCTAGGAACTTTGGTGCTTCTATACAGAGTGTATTTTTCTATTCTGTACATAATGAAGAAAATATGGTATACATATACAGTGGATTTTTTTTTTTTGAGACAGTGTTTCATGTAGCCCAGGTTGGCTTAGAACTCACCATGTAGTTAGGATGACCTTGAAATTCTGATCTATCTCCCTAGTGCTAGGATCACAGGCATGTGTCAGTCATCACCCCTGGATTTTGTAGTTCTGGTGACTGAACCCAGAGTTTTGTGCATACTAGGCAAGGGCTCTACCGATTGAGCTACAAATGTCCCCTCTACACACAGAGTGGAGTTTCATTTAGTCATAAAGAAGAATGAAGTACGTTGTTTACTAGAAAATAGATGCAACTGGAGGTCTCCATACTAAGCAATAGTCAGATCAGAAAGAGGAAAATCACCTGTTTTCTCTTATTTATACAGACATATAAAATCACTTGTATGCACATATGCCATGAAGATGAACGTCAAGACTAGAAAAATGAGGGGGAGAGAGAAATGAATATGTTCAAAATGTATGATATATTAGTATGTAAATATCTTTATGAAGCCCCCAAAGTATGTGCAATAACGTACACTGCAAGACATTTTTACATAAGAATTTACACAGATTCTTCAGTAAGGAATTGTTGAAGTTACATTTATGAGATCAATTCCGATTAAATCATTCCAATTTTATCTTCTGCTCACACAAGCTTACATCTTTAGCCAGGTGTGTGGTGCACACTTAAAAATACCAGCTGTGGAGACATGAAGCAAGTGCAAGGCCAGCCTAAGCTCCACCAGGAAAGCCTGTTTGAAAAATGAAGGGCCAGGAGTCTAGCTAGGTGGAAGAACACCTGCACAGCAGGCAAGGCTCCGTGGTCCCCAGAATCCTATGTTCTCTCTCACACACAAAATGTCCATGACCTTGAGCTCAGTGTGTTCCAGAACTCTACTACTATCTTTCCTTCTCGAACTATAACCTTAAAGCATGCTCAAGTAATACACCCACCCCTAAAGTGCTTTCCCTCATGGATATTCATGAATATGCATAGCTTAGATCTCTTTAATTCAATGAGGGCATTACTGTGGAACAACTCCTGTGTTCTCCTTAGTGCGGCAGGCAATAAACATTTTTCTATTCTTCTATTTTGGGGGGCCATGCTTATTCAAGCTTTGTACTAATCAATATGTGCCCCCCCCCGCTTTTTTTTTACGAGACAGGGTTACTCTGTGTAGTTTTGGTGCCTGTCCTGGATCTCGCTCTGTGGCCCAGGCTGGCCTGGAACTCACAGAGCTCCGCCTGGCTCTGCCTCCTGAGTGCTGGGATTAAAGG